TTTCCCAGCCGATACGATCGAGGTCATGCGTAAGTCGCTAAGGGCGTCGCGTCTTTTAGAACGGGGTCGGTGGACCTCTTTCAGGATTATCCCTTCAATTTCGACGAGGTCATGAAAAATTAATGTCGGTTTCGGGTGGAGGCAAGCCATCGCATGGAGCGAAAGCGATGGCAAGGATTAAATGGTGCCTATCGTGAATAGGACGGACGCGACCGGGAAGCGACGGCGAGATGACTCAGCAGATGGAGCTGAAGAGAAAGTTGTTGCTTCATCTCGCCGAACTACAAAAGGTAGTCGGCGGTGAAGAAGCCAAAGAGGAAATCGTTTCGGTAAAGCGCTCGGGTGCCATTCGTGCGGACCCGATAGCACACCCGCCCGCGGAGATACGACGCATGGTCGATCGGATAGTCAAGTCTCCGAAGCCGGTGAGCTTTTCAAAGTGGGACGTCCACTTTGACGACGAAAACGTGGGAAGGTCGCTTTTCGCTTTTTTAGAACGGGTTGAGGAGTTGAGCAAGGCAAGCAGTGTGACTCTAGCCCAGCTCTTCCGAAGCGCTTTGTTTAGTGGAAAGGCATAATTATGGTTTATGTCTGTTAGGAAGACGTTAGGTAGCTGGGGAAGCTTGTAAGAGACTTGGAGTTGGTGTTTTTGCACCCCAACTACAACGATATCCTACTAGATGCGTTTAGGGTAAGGACTAAGGGAGCGAATGAGTCCGTAGGCGTTAATGTCGCGGCTATGAAAATTATGTTTGGCAGGCTACAGGAGCTTCTATTGGAAACGAAGATGTTATGATTGATTAGGCCGAATCTCCTACGATTGTACCAGACCCGCCTGGATGCTAATACCGCATCTTCTGTCGGAAAATTTGGGCGGATTTCCTCAATTCGGCCTGCCGGGCTGAAGCGGGCGGCACGACGACCATGCGGAATAAACGTTCACCAGTGGTGACGTCTGACGAAGTGGGAAGAGCACTAAAGGCGTTCTCAGTGAATTCCGTGAATCCGGGCCAGTTATCTTTTTTAAAGTTAACAAATGTCCGGTGTCCGCGGAAACAAGGTCGGGAGGCCTGTCAATCGAAATTTGTATGAGCAAGTGGTCCGATCCTAACGTCAGTATAGGTCGCCAGACTATACTGTTTATCAGACCAGCACTCGCAATTGTTGTCGGGCGAGCTTTGGCAATTACCCATAACTCTGGTGGGGGTGTTGTCGTTCATTGTGCAGAATGTCGAATCGTCTATCTGTTCTGCTAGCTCCATTCCTCTACGGTCATTTGACGGGCTAGAATTCCAAAGAGCGCCCAAAACCAAACGGTTTTCGCCCCTGAGTAGCGCACCTATATCAGGGGTGTATCCTTCTGGGCAACTTGTAACTGGAGGAATGTGTATGTTGATTTTTTCGAGCTCGACAGCGCATGATCGGATAGCTATTCCCTGACATTCTAGGGTAGTATCCCTGCGGTCGATGTCGCCATCGATAAGAGGATACTGCACGGTGTTGTGCAGGATGAACGCTAAACCCCCGCCGTGGTCTCGCTCGCGATCCTTGCGGATTATGTTGTATCCGGCCCTGTTCAGAAGATCTGATCGGGCGGTCAACTTAGTTTCCTGGATCGCAGCAATCGACAGGTGCTCCCGGCTCATGTAGTCGATCTATCCCTGGAATCCGTTGCAGTTAAATTGTAGGAGTCGGGTCTGTCTCGGGGGAACGTTCGTGATACGCGGGGTGATGGAGTGATGCGCGGATGGTGTGTGTTGCTACTGTATTACCCACGAAAATTGGTTCCGCACGTTGATGTTAGTTGGCGGAGGGTTTGTCGAAACATGCGGGGGCAGACTCGTACAGCACGGGGCAACATACGCATCGCTCCACACACAGGTGGTGCGCAGGCTTGAGCAGGTCTTAAGGTGACTCCAACCATTGTACTGGTTGCCTCTAACCGAGGTGGAGGAGTGGTCAAGTCTTTTGTAACACACGCAGCAGAAATAGTCCGTCGGGCCAGGGTTGGTCTCGACACCAGCCCTGATCAGAAGGGTTTGGAACAACCCAGCTGCAAGGTGTTGCTCCATTGGTGAACTTAGATTAAAGTTATCTGCTGACCTAATCGGGGTTAGGTCGCCGAAAGGGTGACAGCCCTTGGCCGGATAAAACCCGGGTCAACTACGGTACATAGAACCGGCTGTCGTGAGAGTCTTTTCGAGCCTCTTTGCTCGCTTCTGACAATTTAGTTTCTCCTGATCTCCAAAAGTTCCTACTGCCTTCTAGCGCTATTTCCCTTACAAAATTCACAAAAGTTGGCGTTGCTCCTAATACTGCGTACTGCGTTGTCCTAATGCAGCATAAATAATTTGGTTAATCCTTTCGGCCGGATTGGCCTGTGGGTGATGGTGTGCAGTGTACCGGAGTTGGACGCCATAGTCACCGCAGAGGCCCCTAAGCTCTCGACTCCTAAATTGGGGCCCATTGTCACACACAACCGACCGAGGAACTCCAAACAAAAGAAATACGTTGTCCTCAAATTGTTGGCATACGCTTTGCTGTGGCAGTACGCAAAGGGAAAAGGAGGGAAAATTTAGAAAAGTAGTCCACTACTGTCAAAATATACTGGTAGCCTTGTGTCGACTTCACTAAGGGTCCTACCAGATGCACGCAGATAATTTCCCAAGGCTCGAGTGCCTTGATCCTCTCTATCATACCCCCAGCTGGCTGTGAATTTTCAGGTTTCACCTGTTGACTCCCTAAAATATTTTGCAATGTTCGACTTTATCCTTGGTCAGTAGAACTTTTGTTAAACGCGCACAAAAGTCTTTTTCACACCCATGTGGCCTGCCAACGGCCTGTCGTGACATTGCTTCAAAATCTCACCTCTACCATCACGAACTATTACTTGTTTGCACTCTGGCGAATCGCCGTAAACAGAAGCAAATCTGGACCTAACAAACTTGTAGAGGTTACCACCTTCAACTCTCCACGCTGGGTAGGACAGAGGCTTTTTCTCTACCAGCCGTATCATCCTTGCTAACCAAGGGTCGGCAGTAGTCACCTCAGCGATAACTGGCACACTTCGGGATAGCATATCCGGAACCACATGTTCCTTGCCTTTCGGATGCACTATATCAAAAATCATATTGCTGGAGCTTCCAAGCCCATCTCGCTAACCTACCACACGGATCCTTCAACTTATTCAACCAAATAAGTGAACAATGATCGGTGACGACCGTAAACTTAGCGCCCTCAACATATGGCCGCACACAGAACCGCTAGACACTCCTTTTCGGTCGTCGAATAGTTTCGCTCCCCTTTATTCAATGACCTACTCAAATACGCTATAACCCTCTCACCGTCACCAAACATCGCAGCTATACCGAAATCAGACGCGTCTGTCAGGATAGTGAAAGGCCTATCAAAATATGGACAACTCAAAACCGGAGCTGTTCCCAAGCGCTCTTTCGCTTCTCTAACACTCCTTTCACAATCTTCAGTCCAGTTGAACTTTGCATTCTTCTTCGTTAAATCAGTGAGAGGCCTAACTAACTCTACAAAATCTTTGATAAACCTTACCTTACCTTACCTTTTGACGGTAAATAACCCAAAAATATTGGAAATAACTCTAGACAGCCTGCACTCCTTCACTCCGCATATGACCGCAATTGCCGCAAAACTCCAGAGCCGCAACAAAATACTCAAAGCGCTGGCCGGCAGCACCTGGGGTAGAGATAAAGAAACTTTGCTGGCTACTTACAAAGCAATTGGCCGGACGGTCGTAAACTATGCTGCACCGATCTGGACGCCGGGGACGAACGAGACGCAGATGAAGAAGCTACAGGCTTGCCAAAACACCGCCCTCAGGACCGCGACAGGAAACCTCCTGATGTCGCCGGAGTATCACTTGCACAGGGAAGCATCTATGCTACGAGTTAAGGAGCATAATGCTTTGCTGTGCAAGCAGTTCCTATTGGGATGTTACCGCAGGGAGCACCCCAGTAGGCACCTAATAGAGGCTGAACCTCCACCTAGGCACATCAGAAAGGGAGTACTAGATTTAAAGGACACAATCCAGCAACACACACAACAACCGCTGGACAGAACAGCGTACCGACAAGCACTGAACGCCATTCACCAAGAGTCAGTCAACACCTTCAAGGACTCCCTTCTGGTGAATGGCGTACTCGGAGAAATACCACCACCCATAGCAGACAACGAGCTCGAGCTGCCTCGAAATACCCGCGTGACCCTGACACAACTCAGGTCTGGATATGGTAGCAGGTTAAACTCCTACCTATCCAGACTAGACCCCAGCATACCCAACGTATGCCCTGCATGTGGAGTGTCGCCGCACGACACTAACCACCTCTTCACATGCCCCATCAAACCCACTCATCTAACCCCCCTCTCCCTTTGGTCCAATCCCGTCGAAACAGCTAGTTTCCTGGACCTACCACTCGATGACCTCGGCGACTTAGACTGATCAAACTTGTGCCTAAGCGGGGTTAGCGAACCGCTACAACAACAACAACAACAACAACAACATAAAATTTCTTAGGACAACAATACATGAGTCAGTGCTCAGGTCGTGTGCCAACTCCAAATGTAAAGCTCTAACCGTCAGGCAAATAAAGAGAGCTACCTACCTCTTTGCCTTACTACGACCAATGGTAACAGTTACTGGGCCAAAATAGCCAAAACTAGTATTACTAAATGGTCTTATATGCGGAGTCAACCTGTCGACGGGTAACGACGGTTTGTGGAGATTCCGGCTGTGCTTTTCTAAACGTGGAGTCCAAAAGCTAAGACGAATCTTACATATGGTAGCTTCATGGTTCTGGTGGCGCATAATTTTATGATAATCTATCACAACAAGTCTCGTGAAATGGTGATTCGGTGGCAAAATGATGGGAAGTCTACAGCATATAGGCAACCAGCTGGCAGCGTCTATACGACCATTTACGCGAAGAACGGCTTCTTCATCTATGTATGGCGAAAGCTGAAGAAGCGTACTATTGCTGGCAATATTTTGACCATGACTGGATCTCTGTGGTAAATGCTTCTTTTTGAACGAAACGACAAAGCAACTTCTTTGCAAGTTCGATTTCTCCAACAGTCAAACCAAAACGACTTTCTGGTTGCAAACGGCGACGACAGACATGTATAAAGCGTAGCACCCATGCTGCAGCTCTCACCAGTTTCTTGAAAGTAGAAAAACGTTTAAATTCGAATATATCAGTATGTACGATTACCGAAGCATATTTATGGCGAAGTTCTTCTTCAAGAGGATCTTCAGTTGACAATTCAATGTTACTTCCAGGCCAATGATCTTCCGGCTGGTGTAAAAAAGCTGGACCAGATGTCCAACGACCTGTTAGCCTGAAGTCAATGCGATTATTCGTACGTGTGGCCTCATCGGCAACATTCGAATCCGTTGCTAGCCACTTCCATTGCGTAGCACCTGTAGCCGTCAATATTTCAGCAATTCTATGTTGTACAAACGGTTTGTACCGACGATGCTCACACCTTAACTGACTACAGTCTTAGAATCGGTCCACAGAACGTACTGACTAATATCTAAAGAGTGCTCCTTACGTATATTGTTCATTAGGCGGCTTCCCAAGATTGCTGCTTGAAGTTCAAGTCGAGGCACTGTCAGTGGTTTAATTGGAGCGCACTTGGACTTCGCAGAAATTAATGACACGTCAATTTCGCCGCTGAAACTTTCTGACCTCCAATAGGCGACTGCGGCAAAGGCAACCTCACTGGCGTCAACAAACACATGGAGCTGCAATATTTTTGGCATACCTTTCAGGAAATAGAAACGTGGAATAGTGTATTTGACGACTGCAGTTAGTTGGTTACGCCATCTCTCCCATGCATCGTTAATGTCGCTCGGCAACGGCTCGTCCCAATGAATATTGTGTTCCCATACGTCGCGCATTATTACCTTAGCACCCACGACAAAATTACATAAAAATCCCAAAGGATCAAAGATCGACATTATAACGTTGAGGAGTTCTCTTTTGGTGGGAAATCTCGTTCCATTAATAACCGCCACATCAACTTTATTAAACTTCAACTGAAATCCAAAACAATCAGTTGAAGATTGCCGAAATAATCCGAGCACCTTTTCCACCAGCACTCCTTCTTTCTTTGAAATAGCACGCGTTATTTCTTTACCACCAAGCTCACTCATTACCTTTTGTGAATTTGAAGCAAAATTTCGAAGCTCGAACCCAGCCTTTAAGTGTATGGCTCGTACCATCTTCAAAACAGTAATGGCTTCTTCTACTGAACCGAAACTGTCAACCATGTCGTCCACGTAGTGATGCTCCAAAATGGACTTTACAGCACGACTTACGTTCTTATTACCAGATCGGTGTTCTAGCGCGTTAACTGTCTTAATATAGTGGGCTGCACATGGCGAACAAGCAGCGTCAAAGGTCATTACCGACATCTCATAGACTTCTGGTCTTCTATTACTCTCACCATTTCTCCATAGAAATCGCTGTGCACATCTATCCTCTGGCTGCACTAATATTTGGTGAAACATTTCTTTTATATCTCCGCTTACCGCAATCGCACCTTGGCGGAAATGAAAGAGTATAGATGGCAACGATTTGTAGTCCTGCGGTCCCTTCAAAAGATGTGCGGTCAAAGAGACACCTTCGATTTCAGCAGCAGCATCAAAAACCAAACGTAGTAGACACGGCAAAGTGTGGTAGGTACCACTTTCTCGGTGAACTCAAGTCAGCTTTTGTTGCCGATAACTTCCGGGCATAACCCTTGGCTATATAGTACTCTCTCATGCCTTTGTATTCGGCAGCAAACTCAACATTTCGAAGCATCTTGTTTTCTATACTCTTCAGCCTTCTCAACGCCATGCAATAACTATTAGGAAGCTTAAAATTTTCGTGCTTCCAAAAAAGTCTTATCTGAAATCTTCCATTAATGCGGCGTAAAGTTTTCTCCAGAATTGTTTTCGCAAGAACGTCAACGTTTGCTTTCAATTGGTGGTGATGACGTGACTCCGAAACTTTCGGTGTCGAAATAGTCCGCCACCAACTTATGTAAAGAATCGTCCCTCTTGTTATCCATTAGCAAACATAACTGCGAAGACTGCTGTTAGTTAATTGTGGGCCCGAAAACCACCCATCCTAGCGCGGTATTGGCTGCGAACGGGCCGTTTCTGTTCATCTTCATTGTAAACGATGGTAAACCGAGATGGGCATGGTCCAGATTAATCAACAACCTAGGCCGGATATGCGAGTATGTTTGTACTGGCAGCTTTCGTAGATATGCATCACCACAACTCAACTCAGCTCTACTTTAACTTTGCGACGGCAACTGTAAATTCGATACTCCATATATATTCTTCAATTTGTGGCGTTTTTGCATATTGGCACTGCTAATAAACATGTCTACTTCCACGGCTGGTTCTTGCGCAGCTCGACTTCCAAACCATTGCAACCTTAAACTTTGTTCACGACCACGTAAATCTAAATCCCTTTAGAAGAGCATTGTCGACCATTGTAATCGATGAGCCTTCATCTAACAACGCATACGTTTCAACGCGCTTATGGTTTGCATATAACACGACTGGCAAAATTCTAAATAACAGCTTTTTATTGTTAAAGCCGGTACTACAGCTAAGAACTGATTCCTCTCCATTCTGCCTTTCCTCTTGTGATGACTGTTGAGTAACTGTGGAAATCGGTGCTATTTCATGGAGCAACTTATGGTGCATTCTTCTGCATCCTTCGGTAGAACATGGCTTCCGACGTTGGCAAGTGCGAGTTCCATGGCCAGCATTGAGACATGAGAAACATAGGCGAAGATTCTTCGTCTCGGTCCATCTTCTCGGCACTGTGAATTCAATAAATTTATTGCACTCCGCTGTATTATGAGGGCCACGGCATATAGGGCAGCTCTGTCGACGTTGTGACTCGGCAGCATGCAACACGACACGGCGTTAACTGAGGAGATAACATTGGCTAATCTCGTGAGCCATTGACTAAACTGTACTATTGTAGCATACGGCTGTCTGGATGCTGCATAAGTAGCCCACTCAATTCGTTTACTCATCGGCAATTTCATGACGAGATCATCAAGTAGCGTAGGGTTGGCGAGATGCTGATCTCCTCCGTTAGCTGACTGTAAGAAAATGCATATATTATTAACCTTTGTAGCAAATGACACTAATTTCAAAACAGCACTCTCTGTAATGGGTGCAATCTCCCTTACTTGAGCTAGCTGGGAACAAATCAACTGTTCAGGGCGACCAAATTTAAATTTCAATTGTTCGATAATGTTATTGACGTTGCTTGGGTGTATAAGCAACGACTTCACAGTTTCGCGAGCCTCACCTTTCAAATACTTGTGTAGCCGTTGATTGCTTTCAAAATTACTATACACATAGACTGCGGTGGATTCTGTGAAAGCAGTGTAAAACATCGGCCAATCTTCTGCTTTCCCACAGAAATCCGGCAAGACTTGCATTTGTCTAGGTAAGTAGGACGAGTGTTTGGCTACAGAGCCCATGTTGGCATTAATGGGAGTATTGGAATTCACTGATAGATTGTTACTCTGATGAATGTCAGAATTTGTGTACATGTTCTGTGTGGTCGTTGCAAAAGATATTGGCAATTGGCGGCTATCCGTTAGAGAGGCTAACGGCTGTGAGTTTGTAGCGGTATTTGGCGGCAACTGTAAATCTGGGAGCGGTACAACTTGTTGTATTTGAGGTAATTGAGGAGCTGACATCCCGGCGATATAAGCACTGCCAGGAGCATTGACAGTCTCAATGTGGGATTCGTGTTCCTTTAGCTTCACTTCAGCTGCTTTCAGACTATTCTCCAACATGGCAATACGCTTTTGCACGGCTTGCATTATGGCTTCCTGACGTGAAATAGGCGTTGATGCTCTTGGCCTGGATGTCGTGGAAGAGTTACGGCTAACTGTTCCAGTAGAGGAAGGAGCGATTGAAGGGGCACTGGCTGTGCCTGCGGCAATGGTGGCAGTGTCATTTTGTGAAGTAGATTTCTTAACTGCGGTATTCGACGTGGCGGGAGTCGATGCTGGATTATTAACGTCCATTGTGTCACTATTTAATCGAGGGCTGCGGCGAGGTGATTTGCCCATGTAAATTGTGAACGGCAAATGGCAACCAAATTATAATCGGCAATGGCAAAGGGCAAATAATATTCCAGTACCAAAACGAATTAGTACTGCGAAATAAAGGTGTTACCGATCCAGTGGAGCGAATTTAACAAGAACCAAATGAATTATATTTTAAAAGGTTCCGTTTATTTCTAAAAAAAAATTTACATCTTAAATAAAGTACATTATCAACTTATAACATAGACTTACCGCAGTACATCTTCCACTTCCTTCGCTGATCGGCAACTAATTGTATTGTATTTACCGTACAAATTGGGCAGCCAGGAAAGTAAAGAGATGTAACGCGATTTCCTACCAAATGACCAAACCAAAATACACTAACAAAGGACGAGTTAAATATGTATGTTCATGAAATAGCAACTGCGTTTCAGTGTGCTTATATACGATATATTATAACGATTTTCGGATCGTTATAATGACTTAACGATAATTTTTACGATTTTGCTATTCTCTAAGCACAGTATAACGATTTTCGGATCGCAAATTAGACTTAGCGATATTTTTAACGATAATCGCTATTCTCTAAAATGGTATAACG